AAAACAGGGGGAGGGGGGCATCTTTGCTGAGCATAAAGTAGACATCCCAAGTAAGCAAGCTAGAAGGACCATAACAGGATCTAGCCTAAGAAGGCTGCCTGACAAGAGCATAGGAAGCCCCAGGGCACAAGATCAAGTACGAAATAATAGAATACATATATTTGTATCTGCCCCTGGTTCCTGACACAGAGCTCCTAAAACCCTTGGAATTTCCTTGGTTGACAGAAACATCTTTGTTCTAATGAGGTGACTCTTGGTGGGCTCCTGGATAGGAACTGGTCAACCAGAAAGACCAAGACATGATCAGAAGTTTGAAATTTTCGGTCCCACTCTCCATTCTCCAGAGAGAGGCTGGAAATGGAAGTTAATGATTGATCGTGACTACGCAATGAAGTCTCCATAAAACATCCCCAAAGTATGGGTTCAGGTAACTTCTAGGTTGGTGAACACATGGAGGTGCTAGGGGAGTGGTGTATTGTGAGAGGGCTTTGGAAGCTCCACACCTCTTTCCACATACCCTATGCATCTCTTCCATCTAGATGTTCATCTGAATCCTTTATCATATTCTTTCATAATAAGCAGGAAAACAGTAAGTACACCGTTTCCCTAAGTTCTATGAGCCACTCTTGCATATTAACTGAACCTAGGGAGGGTATCATGGCAACCCCAGTTTATAGCCAGTCAGCAGCAGCACAAGTGACAACCTGGGACTTGCGACTGGCATCTGAAGTGGGAGGTGCAGTCTTGTGGGACTGAGCCCTTAACTTGTAAAATGTAACAATAACCCCAAGTAGATACTGGCAGAATTGAGTGCTAGGATACCCAGCTGGTGTTGCAGAGCATCACCTGGTATGGGGAAAAAACCCACATATCAGGTTTCAGGAGTGTTGCGAGTGTGGCAGTAGTGTGAGTATTAAAGGCATGACACAGGAGAAGTGAGTCTTTACTCACCAGGACGTACACTTAGGGCACAGCCATCTATATATCCCAGCCTTTAGAAAAACAAAAATTTTTTAAAGGTAAAATTGGAAATCACCCAAATGTTCACCAAGTGCTAAATGCGTAAACAAATTGTATATCCATACACAGAAAACTACCCAGTAATAAAAAGGAACATACTATTGATATAGGCAACAGTAAGAATGAATTTCAAAAGCATTATATACTAAGTGAAAGAAGCCGGACAAGACTACATACTACGATTCCAAATTAATGAAAATCTAGAAACAGTAAAACTATAGTGAAAAAAAGCAGATCAGTGGTTGCCTGGGGCTGAGAAAAGAGACTGACAGAAGTGGGGCACAAGGGGGGCGCCTCGGGCTCAGTTGGTTAAGCAACTGCCTTCGGCTCAGGTCATGATCCTGGAATCCCGGGATCGAGTCCCGCATCGGGTTCCCTGCTCGGCAGGGAGTCTGCTTCTCCCTCTGATCCTCTTCCCTCTCGTGCTCTCTCTCTCAAATAAATAAATAAAATCTTTAAAAAAAAAAAAGTGGGGCACAAGGGTACTTTTTAGGGGGATGGGGATGTTGTATAACATGATTGTGGCATTGGTTACGTAATTGTAACATTTGTCAAAATTCATCAAATTGTAAGCTTATACTTTAAAAAAAGAGAAATAAGTATAATTTTATATCCTGAGGCTTTTAAAAGCAAGATAACTCAAGAATATTGGAAAGTGCCTATTTAAAAAAAATCCTGATTCCCCTCTCTAAAATCATTACTGATGGATTAAAAAAACATCAAAGTACCTAAAGAAATATTACTATGTTCTCAGCTCGCCTGTTAATTCAAATGAGAAAATAATATAGAATGAAAAAGGACACACAACGACAACAAAATGATTGCAAAAGGAACATCAAGAAAGTAATGGTAATTAAAATTTAAAATTACATGGACAACCAGATCTAATTGATACCAATTAATTCAGTGTTAACATGAGGTAAAGCTCCTAATGGTACCTTACAAAGTTGTTGGCCCAATTCTGTTCAGTATTTATCCAAATTAAGAATAAAGATATAGAAAGTATGCTTATTTAATCTATATATGATATAAACCCGAATAATGGTTCCATAAAAGAACTGATACATGAATAAGATGAGCTGTATCTAACAGGGTAAATTTCACATGGATAAACATGAGGCTCATAAAAATCAAGTACAAAGACATAGATGAAGAAATCTGAGCCAAAAGTATTTCATATACTAATAGCCAAGATTTATCAAGCACTTCGTACACTGCTCAAAGCAACTTACATATACTCATTCACTCACTCAACAAGTTACCTACTGAACACCTACTACATGCCAGTCACTAAGCGTCACAGATACATTAGTGAAAAAAACAGACATGAAGCTTACATTGTAGTGCTGGAAGACAGACAAAAAACAAAATGAATACAGTAAAATGGGTAAAAATAAAAGAGAAAAGCTAATAGGGATCCTGTGGATACATGTGATTACTAAATAGGTTGGTCAGAAAAGGCCTCACTATGAAGGCAACTTTTGAGCAGACTCAAAACAGGTGAGGTAATGAATCCTATAGATACCTGCAGGAAGATTGTTCCAAGCGGTATGCGCAAAGCTTCTGAAGTAAAGTGTGTCTACCATGAGAAATATGAAGAACGGCAGAATAAAACAGAAAAAGGAGAAAGTCAGAAAAGCAACAGAGTGGGAAAAGGTGACGATAGTGAAGAGCCCTTCAAACCATCAAGAATTCTCTGGTTTCTACTCTGAGTGACATGGGAAGCTACTGGAGAGTTTTGAGCAGTGGTGTGGCATAACTGGACTTACTTTTAAACTGATCCATCTGATCACCTCCAGAAAGATTTAGAAGGGGAAGCAACTTTATTTTTTGATGGAGCTATGAGGTGTGAAAGAGAGGTTACTAAAAGATAACCAAGATTTCTAACTTGAGCAACTAAAAAAGGATTTCCATTAACTGAGATGAAGAAGACTGAAGAACAGATTTAAAATGAAAGACTCAGAGATTTTATGTTTGAGATATCTATTAAATATCCAAAAGGAAATAGTGTGCATGCAATAGGTAAGTCTAAAGTTCCGGGAATCTATCTAGGCTGGATACACAAATGTTGAAGGTCATCAGAGTACAGGTAGAATGTAAAACTACAAGATTCAAAGAGATCACTAAGGGAGTAAAGGTAGAGGAGAAAAGTCCACAAACTGAGCCCAATAATAAAAAAGGTCATCAGAAAGATGAGAAGGAACTGTTACTCATTAGGTATTCGCGTATTTAGTCCTCACTGGTATCCTATAAATTATTATTCCTATTTTATAGTTGAGGTAGCCGCAATTGGCCAGAAATTTCATGGTTAAAAGTGCAGAATCAGGGTTCAAACCTAGGCAATCTGGCCTCAAAGCCCTTTGATGCATTATTTTCTTCTTCCCTAAAGGACCTGGGTTTTTAAAGCACTTCATGCTCTGCATAAATCAACACTATATCACTGTCCAAAAAGCTAATGGAATTTCAGGCTACATAAGGAAATGGATGACGTCAAAACAAAAGGAGGTATTATTCTAAGTGTATTTAGCACTTTTTAGACCTGTATTGTATTCTGGCTGTCACACTTTATAAACATTTAGTAGGTGCTCAATAAAGGTTAGTTATCATTACTATCATCATCATCATCATCATTATAGATGCACACAGTAGCTTTTCCTCAAATCTCTGCAAGTCGCTATCAGTAATGTCATGCTGTTTTCCCAAACTGAGCAACAGAGCATTAACCGAGTAAGTATCTTCTCTTAAATCTAAATACTAGTTTTTTCACAGTTGTTATTAGCAGTTAATTAGACCAGTTAATTATTTTAAGAACAAGAGAAAAAAACTACATATATCTTAATCATAATTTGACACAGGGCACAAAGTTTGTAACTATATCATTTTAAAGCATCCATTTCAAAAACAATCAGCAATACTATTTCATGGTATAAGAAACACATCTAGCCATATTTTAGCTTTACCTGTCTACACCAGCACTACCCAACAGAACTTTCCGTGATGATGGAAATGGTCCGTGAAAATGCTCTGTATTTGCGCTGTCCATCAGGGTACACACAGACCTTAGGTGCTCCTGAGCACTTGAAATGCACCTAGTGCGACTGAGGAACTGGATTTTTTATTTAAATTAAATAGCCACATATAACTAATGGCTACTGTATAAGACAACATAGTTCTGGATGACCCAGCCTTCCAGGACAATACATCACCAAATATTTGTCTGAAGACATAAAATTAATAATAAAGATAGGGCGCCTGGGTGGCTCAGATGCTTAAGCGTCTGCCTTCAGCTCAGGTCATGATCCCAGAGTCCTAGGATCGAGTCCCATATCGGGGAGCCTGCTTTCCCTGTGCCTCTCTCTCGGTCTCTTATGAATACATAAATAAAATCTTAAAAAATTAATAAAGATAAAATCTCATACAAAAGTAGAGAATTTAGGTGAGCACAAAATACTGACATGCTTAGCAATTACTGTCCCTTTTCTTCCACCTACCCTCCTTTTCTAGGGTTACTAAAAATGTCATACCCTTATAATTTTTTTAAATTGTTTTCTTTTTAATTACTGCCAGCGTTTTCGGAACACTAGGTGCTAAGTTACTTTAAAAGCCATCCCTGTCTCCTAACACACACGCGCGCGCGCGCACCTCTGAGAAACCAAGTTATAGAATGAATATACATTATGTGCCTCACTCCTTCTGTCTCAAAATCCACCCCCTCGAAGCCTGGACTAACAGCTGGCTCTTCCGAGGTCGGTTGTAACCCTCCAAGGACACCTTCCCTCTGGGGCTCCAAAAGCAGGGGGTCAGGGGTGTGGCAGGGGCGGTTTTGGATTTCGTGGAGTAACGCAGGAGCCACGCCGCGAGTGCATGTGTGGGTGTGTTCCGGAGAGGCAAGGAACCCGGCACTAGTACGAGGGGGAAATTGAGGCAATTCGCACATGCACACGAGGAAGGAACAGGTGTCCAGGCAGGCCCCAGGTTACCTGCACATCCCCAGGGAAATAGAGAACGTGATGCTGGGGCGCTGACTGCGGTTCCTCCTTCGCCGGGTCCCCAGAGAGGGCCCGCCGTTCCGGTCCCTCCCCCGCCGTCTCCGCCACCAGCAGGAGCAACTCGTTGCTGCGCTGCGGGTCAGCTCCCGGCACCGTGGACAGCTGCAGGCACTGCGGCCGGCGCCCCTCCGCCAAGGGGGAGCATCGCGCACCGCTGCCGCCGCCCCGGTTCATGGTTTCGGCCTGCGAGCGGGACGCGGCGATTCCGAGGCTGAGCTGCGGCAGGAAGAGCAGCAGCGGCGGCGGCGACCGCAGGAGCCTGAACTCCCACATGGGTCGCTGCCGCGAGAGCGGTTCAGGGGTGGGGGGAGGTCCTGAGGGAGGGACTTCGGCCGGCAGCCCAACGGTCCGCAGGAGCTGCCCGGGCGGGACTCGGCGAGGGGGCGACGACGGCGTCAGAGGCCGACGTCGGTGCGCAGCGTGCGTAAAGGGGGGGAGGGGTGTGCGCGAAATTGGACTCGGCTCCCGGAGCTGGAGATGGGGGCGTGGCCCGAGGAAAGACGTTTGTGATTGGTGGGTTCTGCTGTGCGGGGAAATTCGAACCGAAGTCTGGTAAAGAGCTGGAGGAGAGCAAAAAAAGAGGGAATGAGCTAAGGATTCCGAAAGAAGGGCGGCAGTTGTAGCATAAGCACAGCAGCAGGAGAGGCCCGAAGGTCGTTGTCCGGTGACTGGGTAGAGTTTTGAGTATACTATGCTCCTGTTTCGGTAGGCTCACCATTCAGGTGAGACTTTTTATAGTTCCTTGAGCCCTGAATGAAAAGAATCTCCCTTTTCTCACAAGCTGGAGTTTTCTTTGTAGATAGAGAGGATTTCTAGGTTCATGGGAGTTTATTGTTAGATACGAAACTTGAGGCACCTTTGATTGGTAGTGGGGAACAGGGCACATGGACTGGGACAGGAAAAATGGGGCAAGGCATTACCTGTTACACATTGTTGTCCCTGGTGTTTGCAGCCAACGGGATTTGCTATTTTAGGGTTTTCAAAAACCAATGTTGGTGGCCAGTTGTGTAGGAGTAAGATTGAGCCAAATGTATGCTAAAGACAGGGAGGGGGGAGGAAGGGTTCAGTATTCTAAATCTCAAGCTGTTTGTGAGGCAAGGCACTATAAGGAGCCTTATAGGAGACAATATTAGTGAGAATTATAAAAATTACGGCCAACATTGGGGCGCCTGGGTGGCTCAGTCGTTAAGCGTCTGCCTTCGGCTCAGGTCATGATCCTAGCTCGATCCTGGGATCAAGCCCCGCGTGGGCTCCCTGCTCCATGGGAAGCCTGCTTCTCCCTCTCCCACTCCCCCTGCTTGTGTTCCCTCTCTTGCTGTGTCTCTCTGTCAAATAAATAAATCTTAAATAGTTCTGGATGACCCAGCCTTCCAGGACAATACATCACCAAATATTTGTCTGAAGATATAAAATTAATAATAAAGATAGGGCGCCTGGGTGGCTCAGATGCTTAAGCGTCTGCCTTCGGCTCAGGTCA